GTGTGGCCTCCCAGTGAGCTGAGTGGTTCCTGCTGCAGCGCGCGGCGGGCAGCGGGCAGGGCAGGCGCTTGGGGATCTCCATGATCTGCATCTTCCTGGCGAAGGTGCTGCCGTCAACCCTCAGCTGGACGGGGAAGTGCGGCGCCAGGTTCCAGCCGTGCAGCACCTTGGCCTCTGCTACGCCGAAGGTCGTGCTGATGGCCCAGTAGTCGATGATGCGCCCCCCAGGTCGGCATGTGCCTTCGACGGGAGCGACCACCTTGAGCTTGAGTGCGTTGAGAAACCCTGACGCCGCCAACCCCTGCGGCTCCAGGTTGAAGTCGCCACCAATGATGATGGGCTTGGCAATCTGCTTCGCCGCGCGGTAGACGGCCTGCAGCACCTGGTAGTTGAAGTCGGACATGCCCTCGCTGTCCTTGAGGTAGACGTTGAACCAGGCGACTCCGCCAGGCACGATGCCAGCGAAGTGGGCGACACACGCCCTGCCAGGGAAGAGCACAAACCCGCTCTTCATCTCCAATGCTCCGAGGCCGTGCGCGCGCGGCGCCAGCTGCAGCAGCCCACCGTGGCCGTGAAGGCCTGGGCCCGTGCCCACTGCGGGGCACGCGGGGGCATGCCAGCCCTGCTTCTTGAGCTTGTCGGTCACTTCTGCGCACCGAAAGTCGGAGAGGTGGGTCTCCTGCACCGCAATCATGTCTGCGTTGCGTACCTTGTTCTCGTCGAGCAGCGCCCCGAACTTGCTGCAGGCATTGGCATTGATGGTGAGCGCTGTCCACCGCCGCCTCTGGGTAGCGCTACCCGCCTGCCGTCCTGGAACGCTTGGCAGCGCGGATGGTCCCCATTGCCTCGGCAAGCCGCTTGCGCTCTCCCTCGCCCTGACAAGAACCCAACAGGCCGCCGGGATCATCGCCAGCCATGAAAGCCTCGAAAGCCTCGTCGGGCGAAGTCCCTTGCGCAGGGGCCGCCCTCAGCAGCGGCCGCTTCACCGCCAGCTGCTGCTCCTTCAGGGGGGACTGGCGCTTGAGCTGCATGAGCCTCGTGCTGCTGCGGCTCGGTCGGCCTGCAGGCGCTGTCGAGCTCGTCGACCGCAGCCTGGAGGGACTTGAGGAAGTCGGCCAGCGAGATGCCCTCCGTGGGGATCTCTCCGGGCTTGGCCTTGAGCTGCTGCGCCGTGAACGCTCCAGCTGCTGGTGCGCATGCACCATGCAGCTTCGCCGCATCCCGCTTCGCAGGCTCGAGCTCCTTGCCCAACTTAACCACCTCGGCCTCTGAGGTTGACACCGCCTCCAGCAGCTTGAGAGCCTTGTCCTTGTTGCTAGCCAAGCGGCCCTTCGCATTCTGCAGGGCCCTGGCGGCTTTGTCGACGGCCTGAGGAGCCTCTCGGCCAGCAGCGCCAAGCAGCCCAGCAACGGCAGCCCGCCTGGCGTACTCGACCTTCTGCCTGGACGAGTGGGACAGGGCGCCCTTCGTCTTCTCGTAGATGTCTGCTGGAAGCTCGGACCACTCCTTGACGTCGCTGGGCGACGGGGTCGCTCCTGCTGCAGGCTGCTGCTGTCGCTGTGCCTGCGGTGCGCCTCCCTGCTTGGTCCAAGGCTTCCATCCTCCTTGCTGCCCCTTGCGCTGCATCCAGGAATCGGCTCCTTTCGGCACGCCGTTCCATGGACGGGGCGGTGGCTTGGCATCTCCGCAGTTGTTGCAAGTCCGTCGGCCCTTGGTATTGAACTCACCGCAGCTGCACTTCCAATACTCCGCCATGGCGTCAGCTCCCAGGCGAGTACGGTCAGCAGACACAGTAGGGTGAGTTTGCTGAGCGCAGTGGCGCCAGCAGAAAGATTGAGGGCGAGCCGCGGACTAGCGGTATCCGTGTCCTCCTCGGGGGGAGGCATGGTCTTGAGCCAAAATGGCTACGGAAATCCTCGGCCGCCGACAATAAAACCGTCTCCTATCGGTTGTGCCATAGGTTGCACCCTCGGCCGCCGAGAATACAACCGTCTCCTAAGGTTGCGCCACAGGTTGCGCCCTCAGCCGCCGATAATGAAACCGTATGCTATCGGTTGCGCCATAGGTTGCGCCCTCGGCTGCCGAGAATGATACCGTTGCCCATCGGTTGCGCCATAAGATGCGCCCTCGGCCGCGGAGACTACAACCGTCTCCGATTGGTTGCGCCAAATGTTGCGCCCTCGGTTGCCAATAACAAAACCGTCTCCGATCGGTTGCGCCATAGGTTGCGCTCTCGGCCGCCGAAACTCAAACCGTCCCCCATCGTTTGCGCCAAAGGTTGCGCCCTTGGCATCCGAGAATGAAACCGTCCCCGATTGGTTGCGCAAGAGGCTGCGCCCTCTGCCGCCGAGAATAACACCGTAGCGTAACGAGTGCGACCCGTCAGTTCAGTTCACTTCAGTTCACTTCAGTCCAGTCCAGTTTACCTCACGAGCAACAAATTCGGGCCACGCCCGAATACAGTTGTTTCCAAGACGGTCCAAGAGGCCCTCGAGATGGCCCAAGATCGTGCCAAGAGGGTTCTCAAGAGGGCCCAAAGAGGTAAACATTAGCTCGCTCCTATGAGAGAGCGCACACCGGATGCCCTATGAGGGCCTGACCGTGCAACAAGTTCTAGACACCCCAGCAGGGCTCGCTTCGTCTCCTCCGATTCGATGCAATTCGATTTCGATGGCTCCCGATTCCGATCCGACTTCGGATTCTGATTTGGGATCCGATTTCTCAATGGAGGTTTTTTGGCCTGCCGACTTATCGTCGATCCGACTTTTCCCGACTTAGCTGCCGATTTCCGCCGATCCGATGTATTTCGATCGCCGATCCCAGTTATCGATTCGATTCTGAGCTCTCCTGCCCCAGAACACCCGGAAACCATTCAAATAGCATCGGTTCATCAGCGGGCTTCGCGAAACGCTGCTTCGTACATAGATGTTTCGTACCCCCAGCGTTGGAACGCACGGGGCGCATGCTCCTTGCCAGTCGGATCTACGGAAGGGCCAAGGGAAGACCCCATCGCCCAGCCGTCAGCGCAATCGAAGGCGCCCAGCAAACCAACATCAGAACGCAGTCGGTGTTTGTTCCTCGTCGCGGCTCCACTGGGGGGCATTGGGACAATCATGCGTGACCGTCGGGCAGTCTTAGAGGGCCCAAGAGCCCCAGGCAGGCCTCGGAGAAGGCCTTCACTCTCAAACATTGTTCTCTCCCAAGTCGTCCCGACAGCATTTCGAGCTCGGTTGAATTGAAAACTCTCGATGTCCCCAGGACGGTGTGTACGTTGTGAAATCGGACAACACCAGCTGTTGGGCACGAGGCTGACCACATGAGGTATTCACCTACGTGTATAGCGCCTGATCAGCATCGTGCGGGACCCCCTCGCCCCCCATGGTGATGTCAATTTGATCGATTCCCTTCATGTCATTACCGCCGTTCTGGCTTCGTGACGCCGCCTGGAGCGCGCTGGCCGGACCAGGCTCCCAGGAGAGAGGTCCATCCCTGGCTCCCAGGAGAGAGCTCCTCCTCCTCCTCCTCCTCCTCCTCCTCCTCCTCCTCCGCCTCCTCCTCCTCCTCCTCCTCCTCCTCCTCCTCCTCCTCCTCCTGTGGTTGCCGCTTCTCTCCATGCCTTTGCTTCGCGCCCGTTCGGGGCGCGGGCGAGGCCAGCCTGGAAGCCCAGAGTCTTGGAGTCTTCATCCTGGAGGGGGAAGCACTCACGCATCCTCAATGCCAGAATCCTAATATCCTGGAATCCCAGAGTCCACATCCAGGAGGGGGGGCCAACCTAGAATCCGAGAATCTTAGAGTCCGTATCCTCATCCTCACCCACGCACCGGGACCCCAAGGGGTCGGGGGCTGGTTCCTCTGCCTTCCAAGCCAATGAGTTTGTCGGGCGCAGACGGCGGCAGCATGCACCGTGATGTTTGGCATGCGCTCGGTGATCCCGAGAAGCATCGCTCTGTTCGGACCGCTCCCCATTGCGCGCGGAGCGAGCATCCAGGTGCCGGTTTTGATTTTGATAAGGCTTTCATGCGTTCAGAGGAGGACCCTTGGGCCTCTCAGCTGTCTTGGTGCCTTGGAGGCCGTCTTGAGCCGCGCCTTGGAGGCCCTCTTGGAGCCACCGGGGGCCATTTTGGGCGCCCGAACTGATCGCGAAACCCACCAAATAACTGCAGGGATGGGGGGGAGGCAAACCTACCGAAGGGAAGATGGCCTCTGGAAAAGACAGAAAGTTTTCGCTAGACCACCTTAAGGAATGGTCGGACCTGTGCCCTGACACGAGTTTGCCCTCTCTTGCTGGAGCGTGTCAAGGAGGCGCTCCCACTGCGGGGCAGTCTGACCCACGTGCCAGCCCTTCGGTCCTCGGCGGAGGCTGGCGAAGGGGCAGGGTCTTGTGGCCTGTGTCGGAAGGGGCTACGACGAGGATGAATCCGTTCGACCCCGCCGATAGCGCGCAGCCGCCTGCGTCGTATTGAAGGGCCCCGGTGGATAAACACACGTTGGCGTCAGCACTTTGTCTAAGGATCATCGAACCTCACATGTTGGCCCCCCTGTCGCGGTGCAGCCCAGCGGCCACGGCCGTTGGCGGCGACGGTCTGCTGGAGGGACATGTCGGGCGGGGCTGGGACAAGGATAAACCCGCTCCAGAGCGTTCCGAAACGTTCTCAGGGCGTTCTGGAACTGAGAAAGCTGCGGCGCCCGAGACTTCATACAGAGCCGCCGGTTCGTCCTCATTCGATTTTGTCTTCGTCTTGGTTTCGGCTTAGTGTGCGGTTGTTGGGGTCTCGGGGCCTTCCTCAGTTTCCGGGTGTGCCTGTGAGGGATGAGGTTAGCAACGGGGTGAATTCGAGTTCGAACTAGCCAAGTATTCCTTTTGCCTCCCAAAGTTCCTCGCCACTCCCCCGAGCCGCCCGGGGCGGTGCCCGAAAGGGGGGGGAGGGCTCTCGCGCGCGAGGGGCCCGAAGCGAGGAGCAGCCGGCGCGCCCGCCCCCCCTCCCTCCCGCTCGCGGCAGGTGGCCGACGCGGCGCTGTCGAAGGTGCGGGTTCAGGACGGGCGGCCCCCGCTGGGCCGCAGAGGCCGCCCATCTAGGGGGCCACATGCGAATCCTACCCCTACCCTCCATGGTTTCTGAGTGGGATGGTGGGGTTCACTTTGTCCAGGAGCTCCCGAGCGAAGTGACCCTCCCCCTCTGAAATCGTGGGGGGTAGGGGTAGGGTTCGCATGTGGCCCCCTACCATCGCCACGAAGCTCCAAGTTTTCGGGTGCTCCCGGTGCTCCTCGGCGGTCTTCCGGCCTCGGGCTGCTCTCCAGCAGCTGCGCCCCAGAGAGAGCCTTTCGGGGGTGCCCGGAGTGTCCCGGACGGCCGCTGAGCTGGAGGCCCTGCATTGGCCCGAATGTTTGCCGCGGGGATGAGGCTCGCCGCTGTCCAGGCTTCGGGTTCTGACTCCGACTTCCTCTGGGGGGGGGCGGCAGTTCCTCCTCCTCCTCATACTTCTATCTCCTCCTCCTCCTGCTTCCTCCTCCTACATCCTCCCTCCCCTCTCCGCCCATGCCTCCCGCCCTCTTTTCCCTCTCCTCCGCACTCGCCCTCCCTCCCTCCCCATCCTTGCCTCTGCGTCATCCCCCCGCCCCACCTCGTCCTTGAGGAGGCTCCCCCCTCCTCCCTCGACCTTCAGCCCTCCCCGCGCCGCCCGAGGGGTCCATCGGTCCGTCCAGCCGCGGCGACGAAACACAATGACAACAAATGCCAAAACCGAACTCGGGGTCGACGTCGCCGCCGCCCTGCGTCGTCGACGTCGCCGCCGCTCGCCGCCGTTCTGCGTCCCCAGAGGTCCCGACCACTTCCCTGGGCGTTTTGCTTCGTCCCAGATCCGTGCTTGATGGTCTCGGGGCCCGAGAACGGGTCCCAGAGGCCGAAATAGAGGAAAACGGTCAGATGGGAAAAATCAGATCGGCTGGCCGCCGCCGTCGCCGCCGCGGTCGTCACCGTCATTGCCGCAGTCGTCGTTGTCGCAGTCGCCGTCGCCGCCGCCGCCGCCGTCGTCGTCGTCGTCGTCGTCGCCGTTGTCGGCGCCGTTGTCATTGTCGTCGCCGCCGCCGTCGTCGTCGGCGTTTTTGTCTTTCTCGTCGTCGCCGTCGTCGTCGTCGTCGTCGCCGTCGTCGTCGTCGTTATCGCCGTCGCCGTCGTCGTCGTCGTCGTCGTCGTTGTATTCGTCCCCGTCGTCCTCGGCGCCCCATCCGAGGAGGCGCAGCGCCTCCAGGAGCTGCAGGCCCGCAGCCTGCTCGCGGAGATGCTCGGCGAGGCCGGCGCCGCCGCGGAGCTGTGCGCGCCCCGGGGCCCCGGAAGGCCGGGCCGCCGCCTGCCACGACGGTCGATGCTGCCGCCGCGGTGCGCGGTCCCCAGACACCGGGCGTCTCGGAAACATCACGGAGGGTTTTCTCAGTTTTGGGCCTCTCGGGGCCCTCGCTGGGCCTCAAAAAACGGCTCGGGATGAAAAACGGGTCCCCGGGAAGTGGTCGAGAGGTCGTGGTCGCAAGGGAGTGCGGAGCGCGCCCAGGGCGGCGCCGGAGGCGCCGCCAGGGGGCCCCAGCGCCGATCCGAGAAATCCGCGCGGACCTCCGAGTTTTTATGTTTCTGTCATTGTTCGTTCCCCTAAGTCGTCGCCGCGGCCGCGGCCGCGGTCGCAGGCTCGCTTCGAGGTTCGCAGGGCTCACTTCGATGCCTCACATTCGATTCGATTCGGTTTCGACGGCTTCCGAATCGCAGTCGATTCGGCTTCGGATTCCGATCTGGGCTCCGCTCTCTCCATGGAGGCCTGCTGGCCCGCCGATTCCCGCCGAGTCGGTTTGTCCCGCCTCGGCTGCCATCCCGTCGTGGTCCGTGGCCGCGTGGTCCTGGCGCCCGAGAGTGGTCTCTCCAGCACGCCTGCGCACTGCAGGGACCTCACGGGCAGCCGCCCGCGCACACCTCGACGGGGAGCGCGCCCTCGTCGGGCTCGCCGCGCTCGGTGGGCGACTGGCTCGAGGTTTTTCGGCGCAGCTCGGCGGCTTGCTGGCCTGCGCACTGCAGGGACCTCACGGGCAGCCGCCCGCGCACACCTCGACGGGGAGCGCGTCCTCGGCGGGCTCGCCGCGCTCGGGGGGCGGCTGGCTCGAGGTTTCTCGGCGCAGCCCGGCGGCTTGCGGGCCTCGGGATGCTGTCCAGCAGCTGCGCCCCGCCAGCATGAAGTCGGGCCTGTCCCTCTACGGAGGGCATATGCAAGAAGAGTCAGAAAATAGTCTGGGGACTATTCTTGGGAGTATGTTTTGACCATGTTGGAGCATCTTTTTGGAGTATGTTTTATTTTTCGTCGAAAAATATTCCCATGTAGGGGGGCACGCCCGACTTGACGCCAGCAGCGTTCTGGCGGTGCCCAGATCGTCCCGAACAGCCGCCAGTGGCCCGAGTTGTGGCTCGCAGACCACCCGTCTCCGCCGCCGCGGTCGTCGTCGTCGTCGTCGCCATCGTCCCCTCGTTCGTTGTCGCCGCGGTCGCCACCGCCATCTTGGCTGCTGATGATGAGTGTCGTCGTCGCCGCTGCCGTCATAGCCGCCGCCGCCGTCGTCGTCGCGAGTGCCGATGTCGACGGTGGAGGGGGAGGTTTAATTATGAGGAGGAGGTTGGCAGGGGGAGGAGACGGGAGAAGGTAATGAGGAAAGGAGGATGAATGGTGGAGCAGCAGGAGGAGAGGATAAGGGTAAGGGGCTTTGGCAAGGGAAGCTAAAGGTTGGAAGGCCTAGTGGGCGGTAGGTGGGTGATGAGAGAGAAGAGCGGAACATAGAAACAATAGACGTGAGAAAATATGTGGAGGATTCGTTGTTGCGGAAGGGAAGACGGAGGATGTAAAAAAGGACCAAGGAGGATGAAGGAGGGAGGAGGGAGGGAATTGCAAGACATTGGACGGAGGAGGAAGGTGGAAGAACGATGATCGGAAGGAAAAGCATTAGGAGGAGCATGAACAACAATACAATGAAGTAGAAGGACGAGAAGAAACACATATATATATATGGAGAAATAATCCCAAACGAAAGCAAGGCCCATTGCCCATCGGAGGGAAGCAGAGGAGGAGAAGGTAGGAGGAGGAGGGGAAGGAGGAGGAGGAGGAGGAGGAGGAGGAGGAGGAGGAGGAGAAGGTAGGAGGAAGAGGAAACGGAGGAGGAGGACGGGGGAGGACGGAAAGGAACGACGGAGAGGGAATAGTTAGGAAAGGAGGAGAGGGAGGAGGAGGAAATGATGGGGAGGAGATGATTAAGAGGAGGGGGTAGGAAGGATCGATGAGGAAACAGGAAGGAGCATAAGGACGAGGAGGGTGTTGGTTGGGGGAAGGGATGTAGAAGGAGGGAGGTAGCAGAGGACCAGCGGGGAGGGAGGTGTGGGAGAGGAGGGGGGTGATGGATGTAGTAGAGGCGGATGGCGGAGGAAGGATGTGGAAGGCGGCAAGACGGCCCAGTCCACCACCAAATTGGCGGGGACCCAAAGTGACATCAACGCGCCCCGTGCTCCTCAAATTAGGAGGATGACAGATGGAGGAGGTAGGGGGGAGGAAGGAGGCGCAGGGGAGAGGGGGGGAGGAAGTGGAGGATGTGGAGGGACCTCAAGGACTATCCGAGATCTTGAACATGAAAACACGTTTTCTTTTCATTTCGGTAGGGCCCGCGGTCGGTTTGTATTGGTTGTGGTGTTGTGTTTCTTTGGGAGAGGGGGGGGGTGTTGATCATCCTTCTCTCCTCCTCGTCCTCTTCCTTCCTCGTGGCTTCCCACCTCGTTGCAGTCGGCCATTCCTTTTTGCCTCCCCTGTTGTTCTTCCTCCATCGTCGCCCTCCTCCATGAGGGAACGTGGGGGGGAAGACTTCAGGCATGACAAACGGGCGAGAAGGAGTTGAAAGAAGATTTGGGCGAGGAGGACGGGAAGGTGGAGGAGGTGGACGAGGATAGTGGGGAGTATGTGGACCAGTGCAAACCCAAGACTCATCAAAGATATTGGGACATCGTGGACTGTGCCAGAACACCCCTCCCGAGACATTAACGCAGCGAATCACCGTTAGTGTTGCATCTTGGCGATCCTGAACCGTGCCAGGACACCATTCTTAGGACTTCAGCACTGCGAACGAACGCAGATGTTGCGGCCTGTCAGTCCGACATCGTGCCAACACATTATGTGTGGGCGCTAACAATGAGAATCCGTGGAATTGCTGTAATCTTCAAAGACGGATGTGCGCGGCACTACGGCGACAGCCACATGTTGGAAATGACCCGCCCCCTGTCAGACGAGTGTGCCTGGCGATGAGGCGAGAGCAACATTTTGAAAATAATCAGTCCTCCATCCGTGAAGCTCTTGCCGTTTGAAACGGATGCTCGCGGCGCTAAGGCGAGCACCACATTGTAACACACGACCCGCCCTCCATCAGCGAAGCTTTTGCAATTTTAAGAACGAATGTGCGCGGCGCTAATGCGAGAGCCACATTGTGAAAACCACCAGCCCTCCATCCGTTAGATTTGCGTTAGAGTTTACGTAAGTTTCTCAATTGCACATGGTGAGGAAGTCTCTCAGGCGAAACGCCCGGCCCGCCTTTTCGACTGGCCTCGGGGTGCGACAGGGAGGAGCAATGAAAAGGAGTGGAGGCTTAGTAAGAGGAGGAGGAGGAGGAGGCAGAGGGGAGAGTGATCGAGGCTCCACAGGGGGGTCCACTTCGGTGTCGAAGTAGGAGGAGGAGGAGGAGGAGGAGCAGGAGGAGGAGGAGGGATGAGCAACGAGGATAAGTAGCGGGAATGATGCTGGGCAAAAGTGGGCCAGAGGATGTGTAATTATCCACGGGGGAGCTGGACGGGGATGAAACGGACTACAACGAACACGCCGAGGAGTGGTGGACGGGGTGGCGAGGGACGCGTGGGAGGATGACGAGGAACAGTAGGGGAGATGAAGATGAGAGACTGGGGGGAAGAGAGGAGTGAAGGAGCATGTGGACGGGGGGAGGCGGGAACAGGGAGGCAGAAGGGGGGGGAGGAAGGCGGGAAGAGGAGGAGGGGCAGGAGGAGGAGGAGGTGGAGGTGGCGGAGGGAACAACGGCGGGGGGTTGGGCGAGTAGGCACAAGAAGTTGGCAATGTCGGCGGAAGAGAGAGAGAGAGAGAGCACAACAAAAAACAAAATGCCTCCCCTCTCCAATCCTCACGCCTCCTTCTTTTTCAAACCATCCTGTGGTGCTGGGTCTTTGTTTTGAAGAGACAGAGCCCCGCGTTCCTCCTCAGTCCTCCTCCCCTTCTCCCTCCTCCCTTTTCTGCCTCTGCCCTCCGCATGTCTCTGTTCCGGCACACCTCTCACGCGCTTCGTGGCCTCATAGGGAGCTCCACCAAAGGTTCCAGTGGCGCAGTTTGCATGCGTCCCCGCCACCCTTGTCGGCACACCCCTCCCACATTCCGTGGCCCCATTGGGAATTCCGCCGAAGGTCCGAGTGGCGCAGCCCACATGCGACCCCGCCGCCGCACGTCCGCACACTCCTCACACGTTTCGTGGTCCCATGGGGAGCTCGACCGAAGGTCCCAGTGTCGCAGCCGGCATGTGTTCCCGTAAGCCATTTCGGCGCACCCTCACACGCTTCGTGGCCTCATTGGGAACTCCACCGAAGGTCCCAGTGGCACAGCCCGCATGCGTCCCCGCCACCGATTTCGGCTCACCCTCACACAGTTTTGGCCCCATAGCGAGCTCCACCGAAGGTCCCAGTGGCGCAGCCCGCATGCGTCCCCGCCACCCATTTCGACATACCCTCACGCACGCTTCATGGCCCCATATGGAACTCCGCCGAAGGTCCCAGTGGCACAGCCCGCATGCGTCCCTGCAACCGAGTTCTGCACACCCTCACACAGATGTGGCCCTACAGTAAGCCCAACCGAAGGCCCCAATGGCGCACCCCGCATGCGTCCCCGCCACCAATTTTGGCATACTCTTAGATTTTTCTTGGCCCACATGCGTGACTCCACAGAAAACCCCAGTGGCGCAGCCCGCATGGGTCTCCATCATCCGTGCCGGCACACCCTGCAACATGTCGTGGCCCCATGGGGAGTTCGATCGAAAGTCAGATTCTCGCCCCCGCCACATAATTCGGCACACCCTCACACGTTTCGTGGCCCCATGGGGGACTCCACCGAAGGTCCCAGTGGCGCAAGCCGCATCGTTCCCGCCATCATGCCCGCACACCCTCGCACATTTTGTGGGCCCGTAGGGAGCTCCACTCAAGGTCCCAGTGTCGCAGTTCGCATGCGTCCCCGCCGCCCTTGTCAGTACACCCCTCCCGCGTTCCCTGGCCCAATTGGGAGCTCCTCCGAAGGTCCCAGTGGCGCAGTTCGCATGCGCCCCCGCCACCCATTGCGGCGCACCCTCACACGCTTCGTGGCCCCATAGGGAGCTCCACCGAAGGTCCCAGTGGCGCAGTCCACACGCGTCACCGCCACCGATTTCAGCACACCTGTCACACGTTTAGTGCCCCCATGCGAGCTCCACCTAAGGTCCCAGTGGCGCACCCCGCAACGTCCGCGCCACCCTTGTCGGCACACCTCTCCCACGTTCTGTGGCCCCATTGGGAGCTCCTCCGAAGGCCCCGTGGCGCAGACCACATGCATCTCCGCCACCTACGTCGGCACACCCATGTCCTCAAAAACAAAACAGGAAGGAGATGAGCGCAACATGGCGGGGCCGGGGGCTTTGGCCATTGCGGGCCAGCCGGGCGGGAACGCAACGCGCAACGAAAACAAGGGGGGTTGAAAGAGTTGGCAAAGAAATGGGCACGAAACGGTGGCGCACGGGGCCACAGTGGCAGCGCCCGCATGGCGGCCCCCCCATTTTAGCACACCCCTCAGACTTTTATTGGCCCCATGGGGGGCTCTACATACGGCCCCGTTGGCAGCACCCCGCATGGCGGCCCCGCCCCATTTCGGCACTCTCGTCACGCGCTTTGTGGCCCCAGAAGGAGATCCACCGAAGGCGATACTCACAATGGCTGTATATATTCACAACTGCATATGGTTGGTTCCCTGGCCAGAAAAACCTTCATGTAGGGGAAGGAGGAAGACGACGCCTGCTGCCGCGGCCATAATCTTGGCGATGACGATGGGAAGATGCCGGCGATGACGCCGCAGCTGACGCCGACTACAGCGGCGCCGCCCGTTTCCTCCACCTCTATCCTCGTCCTCTTCCGCCTCCCGCACCTGTCTTCTTCTCCCTCCTCTGCCTTCTTCTCTGCTGGCTATCCCAAAAGCGACGACGGTGGAAACGGGGACGGCGACGCCGATGAAGACGACGGAGGCGTGACGACGACGGCGATTGCGACGGCGACGACGACGACGACTACGACGACCACGACGACGACAACGACGACCACGACGTCGACGACGACGACGCCGCCGCCGGCGACGACGACGACGAGGACGACGACGAGGACGACGACGACGACGACGCCGCCGACGCCGACGCAGACGCCGACGCAGACGCCCACGCCGACGCCGCCGACGCCGACGCCGACGACGACGACGAAGCCGACGCCGCCGCCGCCGACGTCGACGACGACTATGACGCCTTGGCATCGCTCTGACGTGTGCGCGCTTCCTCGGCGAGGACCAGTGAGGGGCGTATTGGATCGTCTGTCGAAAAAGCGCGGGCGACATCGAAAACTGCACGGGGAATGAGCGTCCGAGCGATGGCGAGATGCTGCTGCCGCCCAGGCCGCCTTGGGGCGCCCACGCCACGCAGCGCGCAAGGTCCGCCGGCGGCCCACAGGCGCAGCACGAGGCAACGCCGCCGCTGCGGCCGCCCCCCCCCCGCCGCGGTGGTCGCACGCGTCGCCGTGGTCTCTGCCGCCGACGGCGCCGTCGCCCGACGTCTTCGTCGGCGTCGTCGCCGTCGGCGTTGCCATCGCTCGGCATCGCTCGGGCGTGTGCGTTGGTCCTGCGGCGAGGACCACTGAGGAGCATCCTGGATCATTTCCCCAAAAAAAAAACAATCAAGACGAAATCGAACGATACTCGGGAAGTGGACGTCCGAGCGATGGCAAGATCGCCGATGCCGTGGTCTTCGCCGCCGCCGGTGTCGCCTTCGGCGTTGCCGTCGGCGTCGTCATCATTGCCGTCGATGCCAGCGTCTTCGGCGGCGGCGGCGTCGGCGCCGGGTCCTTTCATGAGGGTGTCGGCTCTTGGGGGGAAGGGAGAGGAGGGAACAGGGAGGGGGAGGAGGAAGGTGGGAGCAGGGAACTGCGCTCGTGAGACACGACCCATGCACAAACAATAGTGCTGAACTCATGAAAGCGGTGATTACTGTGACGATGGTGAGACGTTCGATGGATAACCGTGTGCATCGTCACCGTTTCTCCGTTCCCCGAGTAGTGTTTGCATTTAGAGGTTCATAGTTCATACGTGTTTTCTGAGGAACTCGGCCTGTGCGTCGGTTTGGCAGCTATGTTGTCGCCGTCGCCGCCTCGTCGCCGCCCGTCGTCTAGGCCTGTGCGTCGGTCTGGCGTCTATGTTGTCGCCGTCGCCGCCCATAATCTCCTCGTCGCCGCCCGTCGTCTCTGCCTGTGCGTCGGTCTGGCGGTTATGTTGTCGCCGTCGCCGCCTAAATTGCACAACGTAGGCTGCACCGCATATACTACACGTAGTTTGCACCACGCAAATTGCACCACATCTATTGCACGATATAGTGCTCAACATAGATTGCACAACGTAGATTGCACAACACATTTTGGACCAATATTTAGGGCCCCTGAATTGCACCACATAAGTTGCACCATATTCATTGCATCACATAGATAGCATAGCATATATTGCCCCACTTAGAACGCACCACGTCGATTTCACCGCATGCCGTGCGCACCACATAGATAGCACCACACGTATTGCACCAGATAGATGGCATCACATAGATTGCACACCATCGATGGTTGCACATGTATTGCGCACCATGAAGAGAAAGTGCTGCACCAAACATTGCGCACCATCTATACGGTTGCACATATACTCGGGCTAGAAAGTCCTGTGTGTCGCCGACCCTGGCTGACACTGTCTAAATTAGAGTACGCGTCCACCCGCCTTACTTCCGCACGGCCACTCCTATGGCTAAGGCTTCACGTAGAAACCCCGATGCATCATACTCTAGACGGAGCCGTTTTTCTGTCATGAACTTTCTTTGAAAATTTAGGAACCAAGTGATCATTGTTGTAGAGAACCCTTACTGACAACATGGTCTCTCAATCCTTTCGAAGTAGCCCTTACTAGGGAGTCATAACTAAGACATGCTTTTTAAGAGGCCCAGGGACTCCTAAGTGAAGAACCCTGACGTGTCCCGATGCAAAACACAGCACATTTGAGTTGCGGGCGTCACTCTTCTCATTCGCTCTCTTTCCCACAAGGTCTGCCAAGCTCGCTATACGAGGCTCCAGTATCATCGCAGACAAACAGTTTCAAACACACTTAACCAGTGGGGCTGTTCCAAAACTACCAGTCGAACCAATATTTTCGGAATTAGTGGATTTTTGATCGTGGGCCTGTGAACCCAACACATTTGAATAAGGCGATAATTGAGGACCTCGCCAGGGGATTACACCAACCGAAGGGATCCCTACGTTCAGAGCTTAGTCGGCGTGGTGGTCGTCGGCCTGGGAATCCAACACAATTCGAAGACTACGGAAGCACTACATAGATCCAACACACATCTAGAATTGTTATTTATGGTTGGCCCGCACAAATAAGCGCAGTTTTCTGAATTTAGTCGGCGTGGGGGTCGCCAGCCTGGGGCTCCAGACCATAGCAGGCCAAGTCCAGAACACATGGTTCGTAACTCTCACATGTGTCAATGTTGTAGTTGGGGGTTGTCAGGCGTTGAATCAGTTTCCAACTAGTTTGGATTCCGCAGTTTGAGGAGCCGAATACCGAATATGGAAAGATTGTGGTTTGTTGTTTTGAAGGTGTTGCTCGTCGTTACCTTCACAAGTTGTCTGATCGATTCCTTATGTCTGTCTATGGTTTTCCAGGTAGTTTGGCTTCCCAGGCCGACGATCCTCACGCAGACGAATATTCGAACTTATTTATTTTTTTTGGGGGGGGCGGGACACCCTCACCGGGAGTATGGTATGTTGTGTTATGGTATTGGCGTTTCAATGGTTTGAGTGTTGCGACCTGCACAGCAAGCAAGCTTTGGCAAACATCAGACACGCAGCAGCACAGCACACAAGCAGCACTGCAAGCAAATCACAGCAGCGCAAAACACACGAGCTGCCAAGCAGTTAACCAGTTCCTACTAGAACAGCCGCCACTACTACTGCCACAACGACGAGAGAGCGACCTGGTCAGGGTCCCCTTGGTTGAGTGAGGGCGGAGTCGAAGTGATCGATTGCATGTTCTGACATGTTGCTGCGCCCATCGCTTCAAATTCTAGACGCTTCGCGTATCGCCACCAGCCCGTCCAGAAACGACGCCCAGGCGAGTAGAGGGTCGTCCTGAGGGGCTTTTCGGCGTCTTGGGTGCCTCGGGGGGGCCTCTTTGGGCCGTTTGGGATCCTCTTGGGGGCCTCCTGGGGGCCTCTTGGGGCCATCTTGGGGCCATCTTGGGGCCTCTTGGTGCCTCCTGGGCGCTTCTTGGGGCCATGAGGAAATCGATCAAAGAAGAGGGGAGCTTCAATTAGCGCTGCCCCCTCAGAAGGCCAACATGGGGCCAAAACCTTAGTAAAATCAGTGATTTTGGCTTCAAAGAAGAGGGGAGCTTTAATTAGCGCTGCCCCCTCAGAAGGCCAAAATGGGGCCAAAACCTTAGTCAACTCAATGATTTTGGCTTCAAAGAAGAGGGGAGCCTTAATTAGCGCTGCCCCCTCAGAAGGCCAAAATGGGGCCAAAACCATAGTAAAATGAATGAGTTTGGCTTCCTCGCCGAGGCTGTTTTGGACGCTCTGACCGCTCCCCGCCCCTCCTGTCCAGGTCAGTGGGGAGGGGGTAGGGGGAGGGGTAAACCCCTCCCCGAAGGGAAAGAGGGAGGGGTGGAAGAGGAAACTCGTTAAACCACCGACGCCCAGAGGGCTGGTGGGATTCACATGCCGACGCATCATCATCATCATCATCATCATCATCATCATCATCATCATCATCATCATCATCATCATCATCATCATCATCATCATCATCATCATAATCATAATCATCATCATCATCATCATCATCATCATCATCATCATCATCATCATCATCATCATGCCGAGCCTTCTGTGCCGTTGCCCCCATTGGATTGCTCCTGGCAGGACATCTCAGACCACGCTCCGTATAAGATTGAAGTGCGATCTCCGGCCCCGATTCCTACTCACTTGCTCCGTATCCCTTGGGATGTGGCTAAGAGCCCAGTGTTTCATGCTCTTGCCGAGCAATGGATGCAGTACGCCAACATCCAGCATTTCCGCGGCGTTGACAAGCTCCTCGCCGCCAAATCGGTCCTCAAGGTCGCCTCCATCAGGGCCCGCAACTCGCTGGTCCAACGGGGGGGGCAGAATTGGACCACACTTATGCTTTTGACCACCGTCTCGAGGTGCGTTTGGCGCAATGATATCCACCTCTACGACAAGCTGGCGAGACGGCAACCAGCAGCTCTCCAACACATGGAGATCCATCAGGGCTCTGTTCGACTACGTGACCCTGCTATGTTCGAGGCCGCCATGGCTGAAGCCAAAAACAGGCAGCTCCAGACGGAAGACGCCATCGCGACGACATCGGCGAAGCAATCCAAGTCCCGCAAGAGCCGGAACCTACGATATCGGAATCTATGGGCGCCCTCTGCGAAGATTGTCGTTTTGTCAGGGCTGCAAGTGGTCCGAGATGACGGTTCTTTGTACATCGAGCGTGATGCGTCCAAACAGCAGGATGCGATCCATACATTCTGGGCCAAGCAGTTCATGGCCAAGGATATCTCCGAGGATGCCCAGCACGAGCTCCTGGCGACATTCGGCCGGCGCTGGGACGTGAGTTCTTTGCGCCCGCCTGATACGTCCACCTTCTACCGGTACTTGCGGTCTCGCTCCCGCTCCGCCCCCGGTCCTGATGGCATTCCCTACCCGGCCCTCCTGATTTCCATTGTCATCGAATCGATTGCTGAGGTCGCTGAGTTGTGCTACCAGGGCGTGCTGCCGTTCCGCGCTATGGCCTATTCTTCGCTTGCGACACCGCCGAAACGGCAATATGACCATGACACCGTCGAGGTCATCCGCTCCCCTGACAACCTGCGCCCCCTGAGCGGCCGCAGTGCAGACGCCAAAGTGATCGCCGGCGGCATGGCGCTCATGATGAACCCCTTCCTCACTGCCCAGGCTCCGCCTGAGCAGCGCGGTTTCGTGAAGCACCGGCAGTTTACAGACAACATCGTCGAGCTGGACGCTCACATGGTGCAGGCATCCTACCGCCCACCAGGCAGCTTCCTCCCCATCGGCTTCGCTATGGACTACGGCACGGCTTTTGTTTCCATGGCGCACAGCTGGCTGCTCAAAATGCTCGTGACCCAGGGTTGGCCTCACTTTGTCATCGGTTTGTTCCACTCCATGTACGACTTTGCACTTACTGTTATTCCTCTTGGAGGGTATTGGGTCCCAAGCTTCATCATCTGCACTGGCGCATTGCAAGGGGATCCGCTTAGCTCGATTTTCTTTAACCTTGGTACCGACCCCCTTGTACTCGGGCTTCGTGCAGCGGTTGCCGGAAGGGGCATTTTCCGAATGTGCGCCGACGACGTCGGCATCTCTCTGTGGGACATCCGGGCCCTGACCCGCCTCCACGATCTGTACACGCTTGTCAAGCGCGCGACCGGCTTGGCCGAAAAGTTGAAGAAGTGCGTGATGTCCCCCACGGGTGCGCGCTTCACGCCGGCACTGGTTGATTTGATCAGGGACTGGATGAACCTGAATATCCCAAGTTGGGCCCCTATGCGAATCGAGGCGTTCTTCGAATATCTGGGGGTGTTGCTTGGACAAAACGCAGGCGCCATGCAATGGACCAAACCCGCCAACAAGTTCCAGCACCGGTTATTTCAAATTGGCGAGGCCCACGAGTCGATGACGCAAAACATCCTGGAGTACAACGTTCGCATCCAGACCGTCTTGAGCTACAAGCTCCAGTTTGTCGACCCGCCAGCTTCGTTGGTGAACCGCCAGGACTCCGTCGTTGCCAAGTTATTCCGGTTTCCACGTGAAGCCATACCTGCTTGGGCTGGCTACCATATTGACCTCTTGGGATTTCCGCGCCTCACGCCGATCGAAGGTTACGGACTTTCTATCATGAGCCGATTTGCTCTTCACACTTGCTCCGTGTGGCCGGACATCATAGCCACTACGCGGAGGTTGGCGGAGGAACACTTGGGGGTCACACTCGCGACGGGCACCCTCACGCAGGCCTGGTGGAAATCTCCGCTGCTCGCCTTGAACCTGGAGCGTGCGGCGGCTATGCATCCATCGTGGCACCGTCGCGGCCATCTTGCTGGAGTTCGTCGGGATTGGCTTCGTGGCCGCTTGCCGCGCCAGCGCTTGCAGCGCGCGGTGCAGGCCGCGGTCCTGAAGGAGTGGTGGGATCCAGACTGGCCCTCGCTGATACTGCAGCGGTGGCGGAGCTTCACAGCTGACGACACCTTGTCCCTGGTCGACGCTGATGCTGCTGTTGCACGCCTTCGCTCTCTTCGGCGTCCTCTTCGCACGCTGGTGCTACGAACATGGGCGCATGGGTGGTCTACGACCCGCCGCATGCACGAGCCTATTCGGCACGCCTGTTACATCTGTGGCTTCCCCGACGCGGACCAGAAGCACTACTTCGAGTGCGACGGGTTCTGGAACCTTTTCGAAAACTGGCCTGGCTCGAGCCCGTCTTCGACACGCGACCGGCTGGGGCTAGACTCGCCTACTGGCCTCGTCCGGGTGGCAGCTGCCCACAAGGTGTTCCACGCCATGAAGGATCACGTCCTGAGGGGCGGGCGTCCGCACGCCGTTTTGCATACTGCTATCTGTGCCGCGCGCCGCGCGCGCCACGAGCCGTAATCTGGACGGATCTCTCCCGGGGATTCGTGATCATCATCATCATCATCATCCTCATCATCATCATCATCGCCATCATCATCATCATGATCATCATCACCATCATCTGTCATTATGGTCATCATCATCAGCATCATCATCCGTTAGATCATCCTCCATCGCCCTTCATCGCCTTCCGACCCCCTCCTCTCCCATCATGGTCATTACCATCATCATGCTCATCATCATCATCACCGCCAAAGCCATGATTGACATCTTCGCCTCCATCACCAGCATCAGCAGTACCATCACACTCATCATCATCATCATCATCATCATCATGCTCATTATCATCATCACCATCATCACCATCACCATCCACATAATCATCATGATCATCACCATCACCATCAACATCATCATCATCATCACCATCATTATAATCATCCTCATCATCATCATTTTCATATTCATCTTCTTCTTCATCAGCATCATCGGCACCATCGGCAGCAACGCATCTATCACCATGTAGTAACATTATTCCTTCTAGGTCTTTTGGCGTCGGCGGAGGCGTTTTCTGTAGCCCCTGGAGGCCACCAGGCGGCTGGACATCAATCCAGATTGATGGCTGATGCTATTCCGACGTTTCGTTTGCCCTGTTCGCTGGCTGAGCCTGTCCCCTTCCTGCATAGCTTACCATCGGCGGGAACGGCGCGCGTTGCTTTGACGCCAGCTTGCCGACGCATGTTGTTGCCACCAGGCCGAGCGGTTGTTGTTGTTGTTGTTGCTGTTGTTGTTGCTGCTGTTGTTGTTATAGTGTCCTGCTCTGCCCTGCTTTGCTCATTGACGGTGACGACGACGACGACGGCGACGGCGACGGCGACGACGACGACGGCGACGACGACGACGACGACGACGATCACGACGACGACGACGATAACGACGACGACGACAGCCGGCGCCCGCCGTGCGCCGCGGGCCCCGCAGCCCGCGAGCCGCCCGCGCCCCTCGCGCTCGTCCTCCTGCCGGCTCCTGGCGCCGGCGGCGGGCACTGCGCTGAGGCCCGGCGCGGCAGTGCCGCCGCCGACGTCGCCGCCGCCGTCGTCATCGTCGTCGGCGGCGAGGCACGCGAGGTCGCCATCGTGTCGCCACCGTCGAGGTCGTCGCCGTCGTCGCCGTCGTCGTGGTCGTCGTCGCCGTGATCGTCGTCGTCCCTGTCGTTGTCGTCATTGCCGTTGTCGTCACTCTGGCCGACGCAGTCTTCGTCGTGGTCGTCGTCGATGTTGTCGTCGATTTCGTCGTCGTCGTCTTCGTCGACGTTGTCGTCGTCGTGGTCGTCGTCGTCGTCGTCGTCAACGTCGTCTTCGTCCTCGTCCTCGTCACTGTCGTCGTCGACGTCATTGTTGTCGTCGTTCTCACTGTCGTCGTTGTCGTCGTCGTCACTGTCGTCGTCATCGCCGCCGTCGTCGTCTCGTTGCCGTCATCGTCGTCGTGGATGCCGTCGTCGTCGTCGTAGATGTCGTCGTCGATGTCGTCGTCGTCGTCGTCGTCGTCGTCGTCGTCGTCGTCGTCGTCGTCATCGTCGTTAAGGTGGAGGTCGTCACTGCCGTTGGTCGCCAGTGTCGACGTCGTCGAGACGCTCTCGTCGTCGTCGTCGTGGTCACCGTCGTCGCCGCCGTCTTCGAGGTCGTAGTGGAGGTTGTCGTCACTGATGCCGCACACTCCTCGCGGTCGCCGCCTTCGTCCTCGTCGAGGGTCTGGAGTTCGAGGTCCGAGGATCGAGTTTTTTGCCCGTTTGGGGGGGGTCCTGAGACCTTTATCGACGCTCCCGGAGGCGGAACTGGTCGTCCGTCGCCGTCGGTGATGTCTCAACATCGATTTCGGTCCTACCGATCCGGCTCGATATCGATTTCGGCCGAGTCGGTCCGATCCGATTCTGATTTTCCAGCGATCCAATGCGGCCCGATGCTGGCGAGTGCAGCGTGACGCGGCCGACTCGATTCGTTTCCCACTCCGTGCCGATGCTTCCCAGTCCAACGCACGGTCCGATCCGATCCGATTGATTTTGCGCCTCCGCGGTCGTCGGTGATCGGATCGAGGATCGAGGGGCTCGGATCAGGCGTGACCCCTTGCTCTCTGCAGCCCAGCGCCTCCAGAGGCTTGGAGGCAGGGACCCCAGGGGGCCTCTCGGAGGTCGTCGCGGGTCGTCGTCGTCGTCGTCGACGACGACGCCGTCGACATCTCTGTCGTTGTTGACGTCGTCGAGGTCGAGGTGAAGGGCGTCGTCGTAGTCATGCTCGTTGTCGTCTTTGAGATCAAGGTTGAGGCCGTCGCCGTCGTCTACAGCGTAGCTGGAGTCGGGCGAGGAGGAGAGGGAGGGAAAGAACTGTCGACGGAGGTATCGCCAGAGGTATCGCTTGGCTTCCAGGCTCCCGGGGGTCTGGAAAGTTTCCGCAGGTGTTTGGAGGTTGTCGGAGCTCTAGATGGGGCGTCTTTCAGCGGGTTCGGGCGTCGCCGTTCCCGCTCTGCTGGTCGTCGTCGTCGTGCCCTTCCCTTCCTTCTCCCTCCCCTTTCTTGGCGATGAGTCAAGACGCAACTGCTGGGAGGTTCAGTTGAGCATCGGCGCTGGTATGTCCTTGGCCGAAGCCTGGCTTTACCCAGCATGATCCCGTTTTCACCCCGCTGAATCCCGCGTAATTTGGCTCAATCCTTGGCTTACTTTGGGCTATGGCCCCTTCACTGGTCTCGTCAGCCTGGAACCGTTCTCACGGCCATCTCCCAGGAGTGTCCTCCGAAGACGAGAAGAGGCGAGTGGAAGGCCCAGAGGCGTAATTAGGGGAGGAGGTGCAGCAGGGGAGCGACGCCGACGACGTACGACGGTGACCACCACGACGACGACGACGACGACGACGACGACGACGACGGACGACGAGGTGTAGGGGAGGAGGTGCAGCAGGGGAGCGACGCCGACGACGTACGACGGTGACCACCACGACGACGACGACGACGGCCTCTGCGAGAGCCTGGAAGCCTTCCAGACAGCCTCCGGCACCTTGAAAGACCGCCGAAATGCCGCCAAGCCCCCGCCCATGACGACGGCGACGGCGGCGGCGTCGGCGTTGGCGACGTCCACGACCGAGGGCGACGGTGGTGGCGGCGACGTGGCATGGTACATCTCGATGCTATCGAGCCGATCCGATGTCGGTTCCGTCCCGCCCAGCCCTGCTCGATGCCGATGTTCCGACAATCCGATGCCGCCTAATGCTTGCGGGGCGCGGTTGTGCATCCTGGCGCGGCTGATCCGAATCGATTTTGACTCCGTGCCGACGCGGCCCCGTCCGGCGCACGTTCTTGCTCGAAAATGTGCTCGGCGAGACTGCGGACGCGGTATGATCCAAAGAGGAGGATGAGGAGGATCCTCCCTCTTCCTCCATCCTTTTCGGCGACGGCGACGAAGACGGCGACCCCGACGGCGGCGGCGTGGCTACGGCGGCGACGGCGGCAGCGGGATGGCGACGTGGCGGTGTGGCCTGAAGCTTGCCTGGAGTCTAAGAGGAGGAGCGGGAGGGGGATTTTAAGTGCCTCCTCCTTTCATTGTTCCTCCCTCCTCCTCCTCCTCCTCCTCCTCCTCCTCCTCCTCCAACCCCGTTCTATCGAGACCACCATTCCCAGGGGCAGACTTTCATTTTCATCTTACATCGTGAAGGGGCCTCAGCGGCGATGGCGCAGCAGCAACTTCGACCTTGGGGTGGAACCCTCAGTCTCGCACGGGCGATAGGCTTGAGGAGGTGGTGGTGGAGACGTTGAATTTCGACCTGATTTTGTTATCTCGGATTCAGGCGGTGGATCGGAAGCAGCAGTTTTCAGGGAGTGTTGTCCTGAGGCGACATGTCCAGGGACGTATTGTATTGGAGGCCCCCTTCGGCCCATCGGCTCCTCTGAGTCACTCGAATGCTGGGTGTTCAGTCATCTTGGGGATAGGCTTCCAGGAACAACATCTCATTCAGACGTGGGCTTCCCCAGCGGAGGCCAAAGGACAGTGCTTTGGAGCTCGGGCTAAAAATGGGGAGGTGCGATATATATATATATATATATATATATATATATATATATATATATATATATATATATGTGGAATTCGCATTCACTCCCCACCGAAGCCATCCCGTCTCCAGCACTGCCCACATTTTCTTCGCACGGTTCGTGTTTTTTTTTTCGTGTTTTTGATCGAGTGGCTTAGCGTCTTGTTCTCTGCGGTACCGCAGAGGACTACGCCTGTGATTTTCTGTGACGCTAACGATGGGCTTAGGCTGCCAGTGGGAGGAGGAGGGATCGAGACAGTCGTCGTGCAGGCTCCGTCGCCAGAGCGATTGAGAAAAAGGGGGCAGGTGAGCAGCTTCGTGCACTGTTAGAATGGCATGAGATGGTGGCGACGAATGCTAGAGGGAACTCTGTTATCCCAACTTACCATGGCCAGGACGGTGGCAAATCTCGCATCGATGGTGTGTTTATAGCATGTGGAATGGAAGATTCAATAGCACATTCACATGTTTTCAAACGCCTCGGTTCTCGATTTCAGGCGTTCCAGGTCCGAGCCCACGAGATCACTTACCGATTTAATGTGCACTGTGGTATTCGCAGCACATGATTGGACCGACGGACGCCAAGATTCGCCTTCGCTGGGATTGGGATAAGAGGGTGGCAGCCTTACGTCGTGGACAACATCAGGCTGGCTTTCCCATGTCTGTTCAAGAGCAGTTCGACCAGCGCGGTGCGTATCATTATCTGAAGGAATATGATTCCCTTTGACGGGGTACTTGGACTTCTTGAAGGTTGCATTGCAACAGCAGGACAGGCTCACTTTAGCATGGCGACGCTTGGCGGCGATACTCGACGACAGGCTGAGTGTAGAGAGGACGAAGACTACTCCACTTGCGGGCATATAGACGCGAGGGTAAGATTGAGGCTTCTCCTGAGGAGACTACCCACATTGATGCTGAACGTAAGCGCTCACGAGAAGAGACAACTACGACACAAAGATCCTCTTGCCCTTCTAGCCCCAGCTGGTGGCGGAGGCGACGGACTTGTGGAATCACCAGACAGGCAGAAGCTACGAGGTTGGCACGGCAAGCGGCGCGTCCACGCATAGGACCAAAGAAACAGGATGGACTTCTTGTTCGGACTCAACCACCTACCTCAGAGGCATGGTTGAATGCGTGGTCTCTGGAAGGATCACAAGTTGGGACGGCTGTTTACCCTCGGAGCTGGTTCGAATGGCGCGGTGAGCGGAATGACCAGCAGTATCTTTGGGAATATACGATTGAGATAACTGATCTTTGCAAGGATGGTGTGGATCGAGTTTTTTCGGCGGATGCGACGCGCAGCTAAGCGACGAGCAGTTCCAGATTCAACGGCACCGTTAGAGCTTTGACTGATTATATTCTTGCCCAGGAATGCCCTCTAACAGCGACGCGGTCAGGGCACAGGGGCTGACATGAGCGTGCCGACAATTTCGCGTTTCAGACTTTTGGTAGAGGTGGGCGCGGCGAAGATCACGATTGCGCAGCGCCGGCCCGCTCCGCTGGCACCGGGCAGAAGGTGCAGGCCTACGCAAATCGAACTTGGCTGACCCTCGCGGTCGCGGAGGCTCATGCGACGGCAGCTTTCGGGAAGGCGTGCTACTCGACTTTGCTGACTCCGCCCCCGACTTTCCTAGACCACGGCCACTATCGACATCGCCGTCGTGAGGGCGCTGTCCTGGGGGCGCTGATTACATCGTGGCGTTTACGGTCACAAGGTGTCGCGCACGCCATGGCGCTTGAGGATGCGTCCGACGTTTTCGGCAGCTCTCGGTGGGATCACATAGATGAGGCCGTATTTCTTCACACCTGTGAATGTGATTATTCTCTTTGTCGACAACGATATATGCATCCATTTTCTCGGGAGCTCTGGAAGGCCTCTCGCAGTTCGACCTGCGCAGGGGAACGCGATGGGGGGGCCCATTTGCTGTCCGATCTGTCGTGGGTACTTTCGCGCGTCCAATGTTGTCCTGGAGGCATGGCGAGTCCAGAGCCGACGTGCAATCCAGGTGATTGCGAGCACTGCGGCAGGGGCCCCGCGCCGACCTGAGCACGTGCAAGCTTGCGGATTATATTATTACTTTTGTGCTGGCTGACTCGCAGATGTCGCTGAAGGATTTCACGACTACGGTCGCAGCGGTCGGTGCTAGATTGGATTCTTTTCTTGCGAATTCTGGTTGCGGCCAGAACTGCGCCAAGCAAGACTACCTTATGTTTGTCGCTGCACGCGGCGATCAGCGTCGGCAGTTGCCCCGCCAAGACCCCGCTCTCTTCCGCGGCTCCATCAGGGAACGAGCGAGATATTATGGGCCCCACTTGCAGTTAGGCGTCCCCGCGAGGTCTGAGATGTCCAGAAGATGCTCGGCGGCTCGTTCCGGTTCCCTTCCAATGGGCAGGGCGCGGAGTCATGGGGCCCCGAAAAGTTGGAAACGTAGCCTCTGCACCGGGTTCGTTCAGAATGCTCTTTTGAGAGGACTCGAGAGTTTCGCGGTCGCGGGGGCGGACGCTACTGTTCTGGATGGCTGTCTGGCACGTCGTGGGCGCATAGCGATGTCAGGCAACGCGACCTCCTGGGATTGGCCGCGCGTGAAACATCATCCAACAAACAGGGGGCCACCCATAGGGAGCTAGTTCCCTCCGCGCTGGAGCTTTTGATTCGCCGATTTAAGTTGCATCAATCGTGGAGTGCGCACCCTGAGGGCCACGCTCAGATTTTGCGCGCGCCGTTTGGATCTTCCCCGGTCGAGTTCATGCGGCCTCAGCTTGGAACAGGGTGTCGGCCTGCATTTCACTCTTCGCCGTGGACAAAACAAAATTCCGCTGATCTTGATCGCGTTTCCAGGTTCTTTCCTTGCAAGGGAGTGCCAGACGTTGCCCGCGACCTGCGTCTATTTAATCTTTTGGAGGCCCCAGGGGATGTTTGGAGAGTGGGTGCGAACGAACTTCGTAGACAAGGTTTCTCGGCGAGCCCCCCCCCCCCCCCCCTCCAGGCCACGCCCCCCAGAGGTGCCTCGCGAGGGTCCCGAAGAACACGCAGAAGTGGATTTATTTTTTTGTGCCCGATGAGTCTGAATGGGGAGCCCTGTCAGAGTGCCTTCAGTACCCGTAAACAGCTATTCGAACATCTACGAGATTGCCATAATCTATTTAATTTGGTTCATGGACTTACGCCATGCAACGCATGAATATACTGCTTACAAACATTCGCAACGCAAGCTACGGCAGCACGATATTTACCACGGTCTCTACAGCAAGGCAACTGCTTCACTTGTGGGCCCCGCGCGCTGTGCCTACTGATTACCCCATGGTCTCATGAGTGCCCATGCTGTGACTTCGTGGGAGTGGACGCGCGATCTCTCTGTCGTCATCTCCGAAGCCATCTGCGCGTCCAGATCGCGCCGTTCGCGTCGCCCCCCCCCGCGCCGCCACTAGTGACGCGCGCGGCTTTCATCGTGGAGGTAGAGGCTCTGCAGAAGCCTGCTTGGCACAAGGGTGTTTCCTCAGGAGCAGATGGCGCCCCGCCCGGCAAGAAGAAGAAGAAGAAGGCCGCGCGGGGCGGCCTGGGAGGCCGCATTCCGCTCGACAAAACCATTTCGTAATCAGCAAACTGACGTTGTCCAACAGTCGAGAGCTGGCAGCCGCGGTGCTATCACGGCGCGAGATGGGAGCAGGCCAGGGCACGATTGCAGCCGCGATCGCGGCAGGAGCAGCCTACAACGAGACGAGCAAATATATGGCAGAAAAAACCGCATCGACGCTGGAGAGACGGCGAACCACAAGTCACGCGCCGCACCCCACATGCTACTTTTCATGGCAGCGCGGGAGCATGCGGCAACCAAGGCAGCGGCGGAGGAGGGGGGCCCAGCACTGCGCGAACGGGCGGAGAAGCTCATTGAGGATGCGCGCGGGCTCTGGGAAGAGAAGCTTCCGCAGGTGGAATTGCCAGTGATTGCTCGGGCCGCCCAGTACTTTCGCGCGCGCGTGCATCGCAAAGCGGAGGGTCAGAAGGACAAAGCTACATTCTTTTTCAAAGTGGACCTCCACCATTCGCTGGGTTCAGCGAGCAGCCCGACGATCGAGACGTTGGTGGCGGTGGAAAGGGGGCTCCTTCCTGTCAGGGCCAGCGCCGATGGGGGCCGCTAGAGAGAGAGGGAGAGAGAGAGAGAGAGAGAGAGAGAGAGAGAGAGAAAAAAAAAAAAGAAAGAGAGAGATCGCGAAGATCCTGGATCGGAAGGATACGACGGCGCGAGTTCGCCCCAACGTCTTGGTGATGGATGTGTTGCCGAGGCGCTTCCCCCGCCAGCCAGTGCCAGCAGTAGCAGAGTGAACGGAAGCCGTAAGTTATTAGCTAGCAGATTCCCGATGATGGCAAGTAGTGAAAGGTTAGTAGCACTTGTAGCAGCAGGTAGTTTAACATATAAACGCACAGCTTGGGCAGCTAGCAGGCCCCCAGCTAGTGTTCCATAAGGTTTCGCAACGACATCAGCTCTTGAGATTCCTGTAGTTAGTACGCCTTCGAATCGTGGCCGAGGCGGCCGCGTCCAGGGGAGAGGAGGGGCGGGGGGCGAGCTCTGGTGGGCGGGGGAAAGGACGTGGTCGCCGCGCCTAATGCACGGGCCCCCCTTTGAGGGCTGCGTGCCTATAGGGGCGCCCTTCGGCCAGTGCAGTCTGTGCTGTGAGCCTGAGAGGGGCTCGCATCGATTGTCGTCTGGTTTCGAAGGAACCCTCTCAGAGTACAGTCGCGTATTTTCGGGCTCGTAGTCGGTTGCTTGACAGGGACTCTATGAGGATCTGCTCTCCTCCTCCTCCTCCTCCTCCTCGTCCTCCTCCTCCTCCTCCTCTTCCTCCTCCTCCTCCTCGTCGTCCTCCTCCTCCTCCTCCTCCTTTTCCTCCTCCTCCTCCTCCTCCTCTCTTTGGTTTAGTGCTCCTCTCTTTGATTTAGTGCCGCGTTGCGGCCATCCTGTTTCGGTGGTTTCGGGAAGGAGGAGGAGGATCGTGCGGAGTATGCGGGTCCGGCCGTGGCCACGAAGGCGCGCCACCAGAGGACGTGAGAGTAAACTACCACGTGAAAATTGAATCCTCGAACAGTACAGTGGGGGCGCGCATCAAGAAACCATGTGCTTTTCGTCATGGTGTCATGGATTCTTCGCTCCGCGCACTGCGCGGCGACTTCCCGGAACCGTGGAAGAAATTGCTGCGTTCAGGGTGCTCCAGGGGCTTCCCGTCAGGTGCACCTCGCGCGCGGGTTTTCAGGGTTGTTTTTTTTTGCGAGGGTTTCTTGCGGCTGCGCCCGCAGTGTAATCCCCGACGGCGACGACAACGCCGCCGACCGAAAACCATTCAACATCGGTCCCCAACACCCCCCTTCAGTGTCCACCCCGAGCGCGCACGGGTCGATTGTTGATGGCTTCAGGGCCTGAAAAAAACGGAAAACAGTGTCCGACCCCCCGAGACGGCGAGGACGACGGCGATGACGGTGACGATGTCGGTCGTCCTCCACCTTCAGAGGCTTCCGGAGTCTTTGGAGGCGCTTCGAGGTTCAAAAGATGCCACAAACGTCAAACAAAGCTGACCCTCGGCCCTCGACCCTCAGATTGTGAACAGCCTGCTCACCCCCCCGTGACGGCGACGGCGCGACGGCGACGGCGACGGCGGCGACGGCATGTCGGCGAGGGCGCCGCCGTCCCCCGCGGCCGCGACGGCGAGGCAGACGGCGGCGGCGGCGACCACGAGGGCGACGGAGACGGCAGCGGCGACGGCGGTGTCCTTGGCGTTGCCGTCGCCCTCGGCGGCGGCTGGGGCGGCCCCGGCGGTGGCGGCGCCACGAGGCCCATCAACGGCAGCTCGCGCAGCAAGCCGTGGCCTGGGCGGGCGGAGGCGCCGGCAGCTCGGCCCGCGCAGGCGCGCCGCCCCGCGGCCGATCGCACTCCTCGCCCGTGCGGCTCCCTGTTCCGCACTCCTCCCCCTCCTCCTCCCCCTCCTCCTCATTCTTCGGCCTTTTTCCTCCTCGAGCCTCGGCCCTCCTCCTCCTCCTCCTCCTCCTCTTCCTCCTTCGGCCTTCGCCCTTCTCCTCCTCCTCCTCCTCCTCCTCCTGCTCCCCCGTCTCCTCCTTGTCCTCCTCCTCCTCCTCCTCCTCCTCCTCCTCCTCCGCCTTGTTCCGCTCCTCCTCCTCCTCCTCAACTTCCTCCTCCTCGTTTCGCTCCTTGCCCCCGGCCGCGGCCGCTGTGCTCGCCATCAACGGGTTCGGCGCGCCAGGGCGCGGGGATCAGGGGTCCCTGGCCGTGCGGCGCATAGTTTGGCGCCAGGCGTCGAGCAAGGAAGCAGGCCTGAGGCCAGAGGCTCGCGCGAGCTTCGGGCGGTTGGTCCGGCCCGAAGCTCGAGGCCGGAGGCCCAGAGGCTCGAGCCTCCTGGGAGGCGCGCAATGGTTGGGCGATAAATGGAGGGGCAGCGGGGGCTGCAGAAAGAGGCCCTATGGGGTTTCTACAAGAGCCCTTTTAGGGCCCGGGAGGAGCCCTCTAAGGATATTTTCTGGGCCCTTTCAGGGTCCCGAGAAGGGCATCTCTCTCCCCCCCCCCCCAGATTTATCGACCCCGCGCTAACTCGCACTCAATTACTCGCCCCCCTCATTGGTCGCCCCCCAAGTCTCCCCTCCCCTTTGTCGCCCGTTCCATTTATCGCGCCCCCAATCTAGGTCAGCTCCCATTAATTACCACTCGCCCGAGAGCCCCAGTTCTGGATGCGTTCCTTCCGGATGGGCTTTGTCTGTTCGAGTTTGCGTTTGCATTGCCCTGGACAAGTGATGCCGATTTCATCGTCGATTCGTTTGCTTGCTTTCTTCACCTTCGGCTTCTCTTCGTTGTTGGTTTCTGGGGGCCGTTTTCGGCGCCGGGACCGTGAGAAACTGACCCGGGATGAAAAATTGCCCGCGGGGAAGTCCCCCAGATGATTCCGCGCGTGAATCTTGGAGCTGGTTTGAGGTCTGAGGTAGCCCAGCATTATTTCCGGCCAGCAGGAGGGGGAGGAGCAGGTTCGAGGTGGTGGGCTCGAGAAGCTTGTGTTATGTTTTCCTATCTCGGAGGGCCGATTTCAGGCCTTGGGAACGTCAAACATCGCATCTTGGGTGCAAAACTATACCAGAAGGACCCAGGAGGGGTCCAGAAACCGACTTTGACCAGATTTGTCTTCATCCCCCGCGCTTGTCCGATTTTCTCGAGGTCCATCCAGTTCAGAGCCTCTGGCCGCCTCCATCATGAGATGGGAGTGGCTTGGGGAGGTTGAGGGTGGGTGCGAAGTGTGCGGCGCCGAAGATGAACAGAGAACCGGTTTCTGTTTGCGAAGCAGGACTTGTTGCATGCACCGCTGCATCATGTTTGCCATGGACTTGTTCCGAGGATGCGAATACTTTTCGCTGCAACTATTTTGCTTCTGTTTGTGCTTAGGACTATATGTGTGAAGCGCACGGCGTCGACGATGTTAACAAAACATGAGTGACACGTTGTTCACGTTACAATGTTACACAGGTCAGCTCTTCGCGTGTTTCTGCGTTGCAGTTGCTGCTGCTGTCTTCGTTGTTGGTGTTGTTGTTGCTGCTGCTGCTGCTGCTGTTGTTGCTGCCACCGACAAAACGAACAGAGACACGTGTGTTTCACGTGCATGTTGTAACTACGCAAGTGTGTGGTGTTGCAGTTGGGGTTGCACGGCATGCGTTGCTTTGCCGTTGTTTGGCATTGCATTTGTTGTTCGTTTTGTTGGTTCGGTGCAGATTGTTGGTGCTGCAGCTTGTGTTCCTTTGCATCTTGTTACTGTTGCATGCAGAGTGTGCCTGGTCTCGCTGGTCTTAGTGTTTCCGGCCACATGCCAAGCAATCTCCCATGTCTGCTCCAGCTTGGGCGCCAAACGTCCAACGACGACAACGGCGACAACGGCCACCACCACGACGAAGTCGTAGAGGTCGAGTCAAGCGACGACGGCACCGAAACGTGCCGCTGACGACGACCACCACAGCTACGCCGACCGCGATGACCACGACGGCCACGACCACGGCGACGCCGAGGGGCGCCACACTGGCCACTAATGCAGGATGACGATCAACAATTGCCAGGGGGGGCCCTCACGCAGCAGCGCATTGGGCGATCATCAGCTGGTTGGGTCCTGGACCTGCTTGTGGACGTCGTCGTCGTCGTAGTCGGCCACGACGACTACCCCTACCACAACGACGGCCACCACTTTGGACGGCATGTGCTATTTGTTCGTCTTGTCAGTTCTCCTTCATCCCTCTCCCTGCCGCTGCCGCTTCTCCACCACTTTGAATCTTGATGGTTTTCGTGGATCGCTCCGTGTGGAGCTGCGCTTGTAGGGGGATTTCCGAGTTCGGGCATGGTCCTTCTCTCCCCGCTCCCTCTTTTCCTCCTCCTCCTCCTCCTCCTCCTCCTCCTCCTCCTCCTCCTCCTCCCCCCTCCCCCTCGCCTCCTCTCGTCGTGTTGTGTGTGTGTGCAGTACTGTTGGTCATTTCGGCTTTTGGTAATATTCGCATGCGGCACGTCCGTTTTTTATTTCAGGTCAAGGGTTACGGCAGGAGTTTGCCTATCGCATCGCAGGTCGGCTCATGTGAGATTCCTGGTTTGTTTGGCGGCGTTTTTTATTGCACGAAGGTGAGCAGAGCTACGCGACTCATCGCTAATCAACGGACAACTACCACGACGGACGACGACGACCACCACAATGACAACGACCATCGACGAAGACGACGACGACGACCACAACGATCAAAACGACGACGACGACGACGACCACAACGATGAAGACAACCACGACGACGACAACGACCACGACGACCGCGACGACGATGACGACCACGCCGAGCATGACGACGTGGAGGCACGGGGGCCGTGCGACGGCGCCCGCAGGTGGCGGAGCCGCGGCCCGCGCAGCCGCTCAGCCCCATCCTGAGCCCCGGCACACAGGACGGCCGTCCGCCTCGGGAGCGTCGAGAAGTTCTCCTACTCCGCATCCTCCTCTTCCTCCTCCCCCTCCTCCTCCTCCTCCTCCTCCTCCTCCTCCTCCTCCTCCTCCTCCTCCTCCTCCTCCCCCAACTCCCCTCCTCTCCCTCCTCCTGCAACTCCCCTCCTCGTCCTCCTCCTCCTCCTCCTCATCCTCCTCCCCATCCCCCTCCTCCTCCTCATCCTCCCCTTCCTCCCTCTCCTTTAGCTTTCCTCCTTCCTCCTCCTCCTCCTCCTCCTCGGGGGTCAGCCAGTGCGCTAGATATTGCAGGATCCTGCAGCCAGAGCCAGGGGCGCACTGACCCGGGCTTGGGTGCATGATCCTGCGAGATCTTGCAGGATCCTGCACGGCTTGACTGACCCAGGGCTGGATTGACCCTGGTCAGAAGATGCCCGACCTCCCAAGCTTCGGGATCCCAAAACAGTGTGGTGACGGACCGCGTCATGGCCTCCGTTTTTGTTTGTTTATTTTCGGCGCGCTCATCCGTTCTCATCCATTCCCAAAAGGTTTTCTCTATTCGAGACAGCTGCTGCGCATCGTCGAGGTCTTTCGGGGGTGCGCGAGTCGTCCCGAACGGCTGCCAGAGGCTAGAGTGCGGGCCCGAAATCCACCAGAGGGTGTGCAGCAGGGGGGAGAGTTAGGGGGAGGACAGGCTTAGAGGTTCGAGCCTCGGGATTCGAGGTTCGCTCTCTGAACGGTTTTTGTCGTCTTTGGGCGCCCTCGTGGCCACGGCTGGATCCGAGTTAAAAGTCTTGGTCAGATTGCAACTCGGGACAGGTCCAGGGATAGACATGTCACTCGTCCCCCTGAACAGGAGCAGCGTGATTAACCGCCACCTTCTGATAATCATGACCCCCCTTTCAAGCACTGAGAGCTGATTATCCCTGGCCGATCTTGGTTTGGTCAGGGAGGAGAGGCGGCGGAGCCGAGCTTCATTATGGCGGGACAAAATTGCGAGTCGAAGTTGTTACCTTCTTAGGTTGAACAGCAAGGGTTCCTAAGGATTCCGCTAGATGTCCTCCAAAGTTCCATGGAGATCCTAGGGCATCCGATGGAACCCGATGGGTTGCCCAAGGAGTCCCATGGACACCCTCAGAAAACTGATGGTTATCTATTGGAGTCTTCAGGCGACGTGAAGGAATTTCTGAACAAAATCGTATGTGTTCCATGCGGAATCCGCAGGACTTCGGGCGAGGTGCCAAGCGGGGGCATGGCCAAGGCGGCAGACCCGCGGGGAAGGCGACGATGCGCGAGGGGTCGCGCGAGCTGCGAGCTGCTCCCGCGCTGCGACGAGACCTACCAGCGCGGCGCGAGCTTCACATCGACCCTCGACTGGCGCAAGCGCGCCGACGAGCACGGCGTCGCGAAGTTCCCCCAGCTAGCTGCCCACCGCACCGAAGAACAAGGTGACCGAGAAGTGGCGATGGACCGCCGACGCGGTCGTGAGATGGGACGAGCTTAGGCCGATTCTCACGAAAACGGCGGTCGCGGCGAGGCTCGGCAATAACGGTCACCGAGCTTGCGGGATCGCCCGGGCCAGCCGCGGCAAGCGCGATGGCGAGGGCGCCAGGGCCTCCCGCCGCGCGCCAGGTCAGCCCGCCCCCGGGCGCCCGTCCGAAAGCGTCGCGCACCGCGCGGCACGCCGGCGCGAACGGGGGCGCGAGCGCTGTCGCGAGGTCAAGAGAAGACGATCCTGACGCGGGCGCGCGACGAGTTCGGGCGCGAACAGGACAAGCAGCTCCTCCTCAAGGAGAGCGGGCGCAAGAGCTTTATCGCCGCAATCTGCAAGAGGGGGTGACCAAGGGCCTGCAGACCGCCCAGATCAACCTGCAGCGCTTGATGGGCCAGAAGTGGGCGGGGGGCGAAATCGCACTGCCTGGGCCGCGGGCGAACGGCCCCAATGGCCAGGGCGTGTCCGAGTAGAAAATCAAGGCGCCTTGCAAGGAGAAGGTCGAGCTCACCTGGGCCACGACCGACAGGGTCGAGGCATTCTCAGCAAGGAGCCGAATTCATGTCTTCAGGGGCCCAACGAAATCCCCAAGGAACCGAATGGATTTCTTTAAGGTTCCAATGGGTTTTCTGCATAATATTGCCGGTTACCGGGCGAAACTTGTGGATGCCCTCAGGATCCATGTAGATATCCACAGAATCCGATGGGATGTCCCATGGGATCAAATTGGTGCCCTAAGGAATCCGGTTGGCTTCCTGAGGAGTCCGATGGCCCCCCTAAGGGATCTGATTTCTTTCCTTCGGAAGCCAATGGTTTTGAGAAGACAGCCGCTGGATCGCCTATGGGCTTCCGTCCATGTCCTGAGGAATCCTATTGGTATCCGAAGGGATTCGATATACTCACTAAGAAACTCATGGCTTTCCTTTTTGGAATCTTCGAACTTTCGCATTGAGTCCTATGGTTTCCCGGCGCAACCCGATGCATTATTCCATGCATCCTGTTGATGTCGTAAGAAACCCCATGGGTCTCTTAAGGGATCTAATGGATCTCTCATGGGATCATGCAATGTTCCCCCGGGCGCCGATGCGTGTCCTACGGGATCCCGCGGGTTCCCGAAATGGAATTGCTTGTTTGCAGGAGGTGCATGGTTTAACATGGAGTTTATGGATGTCGTGAGGAATCTTATATCCTCGTTACAGCAACGTGGGTGTTCCTTGACCCATTGACATTCAATGGGGCCCGCCCCCTCCTCCACCGCGCACGCCCAGTCCGTCTGTTCCATCGCCGCTTTTTTTTTTCACGCCGCAAATGAGCCACCGCGGTCTCCTCCAGCGCGCGCGCCAATGCCAGTGACGCGCAATAATTGAGTTTCACAGAAAGAAAAATTAAGTCCTGAATCGTAGTGTTGTTTGGGACGCCTGCCCTGGGATTCCCCCCCCCCCCCCCCCCCCCCCCCCCCCCCCCCTCCCCCCCCCTCTCCCTCCTTCCTACCCCCCTCTGCCCCCTAGGAATTCCAATGGATTCCTGAACATGCCCCACGGAGACCTATTGATCCCGTGGGGAATCCCATGGCCCCCCCTTTGGCTTCCCAGAGGGGCCCCATGCACTTCCCATGGATTTCACATGATTGCTTTCGGATTCCGATGGACATCCCATGGGCTCCTGTGGACTTCCAGGGGATTCCCATGAATTCCCGAAGGACTCCGATCGATTTCCAGAGGGATACAACAGGTCGAATTGGGATTCGAATGGGCATTCTCCAGAATCCTGTGGATTGCCATGGGATTCGTATAGATTTCCTGAAGCATCCGGTGAACTTGTTCCGGTATCTTGCGGGTTTCCAAATGAATCGCATGGCCCCCCTCAGGGCGCCGATGGATTCCCGTGGGTTGCTGGTGGATTTCCGAAGGCATCCCGTGCAGTGCCTGAGGATTTTTATGCGTGTCCTGAGGGCACCTGCGTATTTCCACCGGCGTCCCATGGATTTCATGAACAATTCCTATGGTTGCCCGAATGCTCATATTGTTTTTTTCGGATTGGGCCCACTAGGTTCCATTGAGACCCCAATGGGTATCTTAAGGGGTCTTACGGCTTCGCATGATATTCTTATGGGTTTCTCAAGGAACCCGCATGGATTGCCGAAGAGAGCTTGCGGTTGTCCTAAGGAGTCTGATGGGTATCCGATGGATTCCCAGGGGGTTCCGATGGATTTTCCATGGGATCCAATGGAATGTATAAGGGATCCAAACCATGTCCTTAGGGCCACCATGGATATCCAAAGGGGCCCTATGGATTGCCACGGGGTGTCTTTGGATTCCACGAAGATCCCTATCGATCGCGTCTGGGTTCCCATGGGTATCTCAAGATGGGTGCCCGTTGGGTTTTCCCATGGATGTCCGAAGTAATCCAGTGGATATCCTAAAACGGCCGATGGAATTCCGTAAGTTTCCTATGGATTCCCGAAGGACCCCGATGGATCTTGCATTATCATTATGAATGGTCAGGGCCCCCTTGATCACCATCATCGTCATCATCTTCATCCTTCTGCTGAGATCTCTGTTGGTTATTATCGGGAGCTGAGGGTTCGCGGGGTGGTTCGGGCTCGGGGGGGATGCATCGACCCTCAATCGCCTGTTCGTCGCCGATCGCGGCCACGTACTTAGCCCACCCCGCCCAGGAAGGTTCGGAATCGCTGTTGGGGGGGGGGGGGGGGGGTAGCGCCGATTTATTGGCGATGCATTCCCGATTCAAGCCCGACGTTTGCTCCGTGAGCTGGCCCCCGCTATCTTTCCTCTTTAAGGGGGGGGAGCGGGGGCGGAGCGTCGGACAAGCGCAAGGGTGGATCCCAGATGGACGATTGCAAATTGACAAGAGAAACAACTGCGGCTAATATTCAGAGGAGCGCGAGGTATTGATACTGATATTTTTCAGATTTCCAGGTTTTCCTGTTCTTCCGCGGGGGCTCCAGGGACGAATGGTCGCGCGCATTCCGTCGCGCAGGTTTTTTGCGTGATGTTCGCGGTGCGTTTTTCGCGCACCGGAGCGCCTTCGAAGATTCCAAGCTGCATGCTGTGTTGCTTTTGGGGAGTCCGCGAGTCGCAGCTGCCGCGGCGCTGTTTTCGAGGCAGCCCCTTCGAGTGCTGTTCGCGGGTGCAACGCGCGGCGCGCGCTGCGCCCAGTCGCGCGCGGCGCGGCGCGTGAATCAGCCGACCGCGCCCGTCGGACCGCCCTGAGATTATTTCTGGATTGTAGAGTGTGTCAGAAAACGCGTCCGCTTTTTTTCCGCGCAAGCGGTTCCGGAATTTTTCAAAAAGAAGCCCGGAAATATTTTCAAAACCAATAAAAACAATTTTGAGGGGTGTGCGCCCGCCGCGCAGGACATCTGAAGAGTTCCGAAGTCCGGAAATTTTCAAAATGGATTCTGGAATTTTTCAAAATCGATCCCGGAAATTTTCAAAAACGATCCCAGAAAACTTCAAAAAGTAGGCTGGACATGTTCAAACATGTTTCCATATTTGTTCAATTATACCCCCGGGGAATTTTCCAGAGTCGAGCATGCTTTGCCTTGCCAGGCCTTTTGGGAATCCACCGAGGCGCGCGGTGCGCGGCGGCGGGCGATGGGACGGTGCGCCACCGTCCCCTCCGCGCTCGGCAACGAGAGGGGGGGTCAGCAGTTGCCAAATAGCCTTTTTACGGGCGACCACTCGATTGCGAATGGCTGACTGACCAGCGGCGCCAGCCAGAGTAGACAAACCTCGACGCCAGGTGTACCCCGCGCGCAGGCTGTTAGAAATCCCGGAATTTCCGGAACATATCAATAGCACGCTGTGTCAATATATTCTTCCTGTCCTAAATAATTCAAACGCCGAGCGACATTTCGAACTTGCCGATATGAGCATAGACCAGGAAAGCTGGGTAGACTGGGTTACGCGCGCCACCAGGCGGGGCGAAGGACTCTTCCGGCGAACCCGTTGCCGCAGTTGGGGTGCATGACCAACGCCGGGAAAGAAAACGCCGATTGCAAAACCGATTTCAGGCAATTTGAGGACGGGCGCTGGCCCACCAAGCTTCTGGATTGGAGACCGACAGGCGTTCGCGTGGCCGGGCGGCCCCGACACTGCTACACTGATTGATTGTCGATTGCGTTATTCATTTAGCGAGTTCGGCTGGCCTCCAGGGGTACGGGCGCGGACCACCCGCGGCGCTGCATCCTGTCCTGTCCTGCCCTGTTCTCGTGTCTGCTCCTCTTCACCCAGCTTCTCCCTCCCCGCCCTTCCTCCATCCCTCCTCCTCTCTCTCCGCTCACTTCTCTACTGGAATACGATCTGCATTAACAGAAACTTGATGGGGACGGGCGCGCGGAGTTTTGGGATCGGCGCTGGAGCGCCCTCCCTTTGCGCGGGGGGAAGCGAGGGATGATGACGAGGGATGGAGGGAAGTGGAAGAGGGAAAAGGTTGAGGAGGACAAGGGGGAAGGAAGGGGGAGGAGGAGGGAAGAGGACTGGTTTCGACGCGTCTTATCGAATTTGCCGCCCTTGATTTCCACAGCGTTGTCGATGACTGTGTTTTCCGGTAGTTGTTACGACGCGTTCCTTTTGCATCAGCGAGTGCCAGCGAGAAGCGGACTGGGGATGAGGAGGAGGAACAGGAGGAGGAGGAGGAGGAGAAACAACATGTCAAGTGGAGAGCGAGGAGGAAGAGGAGGGAGAGTATCTTGGTCCAGGGCTCGAGCCAAACGGTGGTTTCGTGATTTCGAGGATAATTGTGTCGTTTTGATATCGTTCCACAGCAAAGGCAGACCGAAGACAAAACGAAGGACAACGAACACGAAACAGAAACGAAACCCACAGCTTAGCTCGAACCCTGTCTTGGTCTTTTGGGCAGTCTCGACCCTTTTCGGGCGGGGCATTCGGCGAGGTCTCCAGCAGGGTCTGCCCCCCCCCCCCCCCCCCCGAGCTATGAGCCCGAGCGCGAGAGGGCGTCTCTCGGCGGCCGTCCGAGGCCTCCGCCGAGGCCCTTCGGGGGGCTCCTGCAGGGCCCCTGGGGAGGTTTTTTCCACAGAGGCTCCTCGGAGGCTTCTCAGCGTTCTTCGGACGCGCCCGGACGTTGCCGAAGGAGGGGGGGCGAGGAGGGGGTGAGCGGAAAAGGGAGGAGGGAGAGGGGCTGCGGGGCGGGGAGTTCAAGGAGGGGAGAAGGAGGACGATGGGGACGAGAGGGGAGGAGGGAGGAGGAGGAGGAAGAGGAGGAGGAGGAAGATGAGGAGGTGGAGGAGGAGGAGGAGGGGAGGAGAACGAGGAGGAGGAGGAAGAGAAGGAGGAGGAGGAGAAGGAGCAGGAGGAGCAGGAGGAGCAGTAGGAGGAGATATGGAAGGGAAGGAAGAGGAGAGGGGACTTACCCTGACCTTTTCCGGAGGGCTAAGTGTTAGATCCAGGACCATTGAGTGCAATTTCCAGTGGAGGTTCCAGGCAGTCCTGGGGATGTACAGTCAACCTGCATATGAAGGATGGGCAAGCTTTCCAAGTGTACCCGTGCATCTCTGCCTCCTCGGTGCAACCTTGGCAATTTTTTTGGCCGAGCCCCGCTCAAAAAGCTTTGACACAGCCTTCCAACGGCCTTGCATCCTTATCGAACATGCTTATGATGCGGACCGGCTGTAAGTCTGGGGGGCTACGTTTGAGCACCTCGCAAGGTCAGAGGAGGCAGAGAGGGAGAGAGAGGGACATATAGTAAGAGAGAGGGAGTGGCATGCGGGCGGCGGGCACTATTCGACACCGTGGAAGGCATGCATACGGGCAAGCCAACGGGCATCTGGACAGCTCTTGACAGGCTGGGTCGGAGTGCGCTCCTGGAGAGGTCCAGGGGAGGAGGAGCAGGAGAACGAGGAGGATCAGGAGCAGGAGCAGGAGCAGGAGAAGAAGGACCACACATTCGGCGGATCCCAGAGCTTCCTTCAATCTTGCAGTAACAGGGCCGTGTTTAGACCCAGATCGAACAACATAGTAATGTCTGACGAAAAACCCAACGGGCGACGGGGAGAGGTGTTCTTGGTGTCTTTTTGTGCTTGATGTTGAGGAGGAGGGCGAGGAGCAGGAAGACAAAGGTCGAGTCGTGAGCGTTCAGATAGCCCTCGCACCTATGTGCAGCTCGCACCAGTCTGATGACCTCGGGGCCAGACTCACGCCGAGGCCATTGGGGCAGGATGTCGGACTGGGCTTCCCGCTCGCACGGGGGCCCTCCTTGGTTCCGGCAGCTCGCACCCATGCATGCAGTCTCTTCATCGCTCGGCCCTTCCGCCGTCTTCCTCCCGATACAAGGGAAAAGTGTCAGACTACCAGTTTGAACACACATCCCGATCCCTGTGTCTGGCATCACCTCGCCTCGATGCCGGCTTAAAGATTCCCTCAGTTTCTGGGGGCGCACCCCCAAGGTTGTCCTCGCGTCTTTGCTCGCCCATCTTAGGGATAGGGATAAGTTCGAGGCTGGCTATGAGAGTCGATTTTGCCAGAGCTCGGTTTTGCTGCCAGGTGCTGGCCGTACGGGCGTGAGTTTGCCAGTCCAGTTGTCTTGATGCTTGCAGCCTTGCGTCAAATTCCAGGCTGGGCCTGGTCTTTTCTTCCGGCAGCCCCGTCAGGCAAATCCGAGTTCCGCCAAAGAACGAGTCCTACGTCTCCCCGCGAAACGTTTAACAGCGCATGCTGTCCTCCCGCCAGCGTGGGCGCGGGAGGAGAAGCAGGGGAGGGGGAGAGGGCGCGGAGGAGAAGCAGGAGGCGGGAGCGAGGGAGCGCCAGGCAGAGAGAGGTGGCGGCGAAGCGGAGGTCGGGAGAAGAGAGGAGTAGAGGCCCGGGGCATTCACGAGGGCGGCATTCAGGGTGACGACGCCGCGGATGTCGGCGACGACGTTGGCGTCAACGACGACCGCGACGACGACACCGACGACGTCGTCCGTTGTCGACGGCGGCGGTCGGCGCGGAGGAGCCGAGCGCGACGCCAGCCGCCGCCAAGCTGCTGCCGAATTGCGGCACGGGCGCGCGCCCGTGTCGCCCGCCGGCCGCCGTCGTCGCAGTCGACGAGGCCGACGACGACGACGACGAGGAGGAGGACGACGACGACGACGACGTCGAAGATGTGGAATACGACGACGACGAAGATATGGAAGACGACGACGTCGACGACGACGGCGACGGCGACAGCGACAGCGACAGCGACAGAGACAGCGACAGCGACGACGATACGGGCGAGGGCAGCGGCGGCCTCGCCGCTGCCCCCGTCGTCGTCGTCGTCGCCGTGGCCGCTATCGTAGTTGTCGTCGCCGCCGCCGTCGTGGCCGTCGCCGTCGTCCTCTTCGTGGTGCTGGTTCTCGCCGTCGTCTTCCGGAGGGCCGAGGAGGATGAGGAGTGCTGAGGAGGAACAGAACAAGGGATTGGCCGAGGAATGTGGAGAAGGAAACGTGGGATGTCAAGAAGAAGGATTGAGGAGGTGAAGGAGGAGGAGGAATGAGGAAGAGGGGTGAGGAGGAGGAGAAGGCAGGGTGGAGAGGGGTGGGAGGAGGAGAAGGGGTGGGAGGAGAAGGAGGAGGAGGAGGAGGAGGAAAAGGAGGAGGGGGAGAGGAAAGGGGAGAGGGACAGTTGAGGACGATGAGCAGGATGGTGAGGGGGGGGGGGAGCTGGGACGGAACCCTGCAGGAAGGTGGGGAAGGGGGCGGGGCAGCAGCAGTGGCAGGGGTGAGCCACCTGTCCCGTCCCTCTCTTCCTCACTCCTCCCCCCTCTCCCGATCATTCCTTTCCCCCTCGCCTGCGTTTTCGTCAACCCCCTGGATGATAAGGGCGACGACCACGTGATACTGAGGGCGGCTCAAGCCCATTCAGTTTTTGTGCCATCTTGTTCAGTCGCCCAGGTTGGACGAGGCTAGGACGAAGAGGGATATGTTCCAGAGAGTTCCGGAACGCTCTCAGAGCGTTGCGGAGCGCTCTGAGATGTCCGCGACGCCCGAGACACCATCCAGAGCCGCTGGATATCAGAGATGTTTTGATTTTGCCTCACCTGAGTTGATCCTCGTCCTGGCTTCGTCTTACTAGGTTTGGCCGCGCGCACAAGGGGGTAGGGGCGGGTGGGAAGGCTTCTTAGGATCACCCCTGCTTCTCAGAATGCGCGGGCCTTACATCTGTAGACAAGGTCCGCGCCTTCTAAGAAGCAGGAGGGCTGCTTCCAAGAATCAGGAGGGAACAAAAACACACAGACACAATCAATTGTCGATCCCTGGGAAAATGTTGGAAAATATGGGAAGTGGGGGGGAAGACAAGGACCCAGGAAATATAGGAACATATGGGAATCCTGTCATTTGTTTGTATTTATGTGTGTGTCCTGGGGCCCCTTCCAAGAAGCCCTCCCCCCTCCCCCCTCGCCGCCGCGGTGCGCGAAGAAATCCCCCCTCCCCCCTGCCCCATCGCCGCCGCGGTGCGCGGTGCGCGTGGCCGACAGGTCACCCCCGCCGGTGCGCGAAGAGGACCGTGGGCTCCGCGCGTCGCGGGCCTGGACTGGAGGGCGTTCCTCCTCCAAGCGGGGGGGCGGCGCGAGGGTTTTTCTCGAGGGCTTTCCTCCTCCTCGACTCCTCGAGGGCCATCCTCCTCGAGGGCTTTCCTCCTCCTCCAGGGCCTGGACTCGAGGGCTTTCCTCCTCCTCGAGGGCTTTCCTCCTCCAGGGGGGGGGGGCGGCGCGAGTCGGGCCAGACGAAAGGGGGGGATTGGGAAAGGGGGAGTTACGAAGTCTGCTGCACGCAGCTGGTTTCGGCCTCACCGAGGGGCCCATTCCTCGATACATCGCCGCCTCCGGCGCCGGGAGGCGCCTGGAAAATCAGCTACGTGAGCTGATTCTCAACCCCCCCTGTGCTATCCCCCCCTTTCGCCCGGCCCGAGCGAGGTAGTCGCGCGAGGGCGCGAAGATACAGGCGCGCGTCGCGCACAGCGGGGCGCGATGCCCGACGGCAGGCTCCTCCTCCTCCTCCTCCTCCTCCCTTCGCCTCCTCCCTTCGCCTCCTCCTGCTCCTGCTCCTGCTCCTCCTCCTCCTCCTCCTCCTCCTCCTCCTCCTCCTCCTCCCGACCTGGGTAACTCGAGTGGTTCCACTCGTGGCTCGCCGAAACGCGCCGCCCTTGGGCAAGCATTCGGCGGCGAGCGAGGGGGGAAAATGAGAGGGAGAAGGCCTTCGCAGAAGCTGGCGGGACTCCTCAGAAGCCCTCGCGCCTTCCGAGAGGTTTCCGGTGTCTTCGGGGAAGGCTTATAACAACTCCTCAGAAGGCCGGAGAATTTCCGAGCCTTCTGAGAAGGCCCGCCCCGACTGATTTTCCCCCCGGCTCGCCGCCAACACATACCAGGGCAAGAACTGCCACAGCTCACGGGAAGCGCCCGTCTGTCTCGTCCGCATGGCAGCTTCTTCCTCGCGGAGGTTGGCTGTGCGCTTCGCGGAAATAGAAAAGTGCCCGTGTCTTTGATGAGCAGCGCGTGTCCTTTCCGAGCACCTTGCCGGAGGCGCCTCCGTGGGCCCCATGGCCGTCGGCTCCTTTCCCAAGACCGGGCTCCGTCCGAGGTCTGTTGCTCCGTAGTAGCGCTGCGTTGAAGGACGATCTACCTTGTAAGAACGTTTCTATAACAACAGGCAGAGTTGCATTCCAAATCGCTCTGACAGAGTAGACCAGTCATCCCTCTTTGTTGGTAGAGTGCGAATCGGGGGCCAATATTTCTGGTCCTGTGGTCCGAACAACAGCAGCTTCCTAGGGGGCCCCAGAGGCCTAAAGCGGGCCAGGGACATGCACGAACATCTCGATCCTCGATCCGTCTTGCGAGGCGGGGTCTTCATATTCGGCGAAGCAGTGGATGCGGATATTTCCAGGGCTCCCACAGGCGCCCATCAGTGTACACAGGCAGCATCCTCGTTCAGTGAAAATTGGCGTCTCGGCCATACTTCTAGTTGCTTCTTCGGGCCAAGGGGACCCTCGCACCTTGGCGCGGTCGCGGCGCCCTCGCGTCTCTTGACCGCGCTTCGCGATCCTCCTGCCAGCGCCCAGGCCGACGAGGCCCATGCCGCGTAATCGCCGCCGTCGCCGTCGCCGCCGCCGCCGCCAATGCCGCCGCCGCCGCCGCCTGGAGCTGCGGGGGGGGCCGCCGCCGCGGCGCTGAGCACGGCGAGGCCGCGGCCCCGTCGCGGCCATCGTCGTCGTCGTGGTCGTCGTCGTCGTCGTCGAAGCCGCCGTGGTCGCCGTGGCCGTGGTCGCCGCCGCCGCCGCCGCCGCGGTCGCCGCCGCGGACGCCTGCCCGGCGAGGCCTCGGCGCCGAGGACCCCGCCGTCGTCGCCGCGCCGCCACAGCCCGACGCGTTCGACGCCGAGTTCTGCCTGCTGGCGCCCCGCGCCGCGCGGCGACGGCGTTGTGGTCGATGCCGTCGGCGTCGTCGCCGCCGTTCTCGTCGTCTTCCCTTGCGGTCTGGGCGTCTGTGCGGTTCTTCGTCGCGGTCGGTTTCGCCTGGCTTCGGGCCCGACGGCCATCACAGATCGATCCGGCACGAGGAGTGCCGCAGAAAGGTGGGGTTTGGGTTCCAGGGCTCTCGTCGTGAGT